GGACAGTGAACAATATTGTCGCAAACTTTCGAGTATGGCACACAAAATATTCCATCTCCACATAAGAAATCAGACTCATTACATCCCAAATTCATTATTTTATTGTCTAAATAGATCCCAAAATAAATGTTTGATGTATCGAGTTAAATCTTACCATTGTCAAGTATAGGTTCAATATCGCATGTTAGTCCCTTCTCTCGTCGTTTTAAACATGCTTTGAAAAATAAATGATTTATGATTTGATCAGTTTCTAACCGTTAGAAGATTAATAGTTACTTTTTTTTCCACTCGCACGCTTCCTTTGTTTCATCTAATTTATTTGGACAATTGACTTCATGATCACAGACGGCGCTGAGACTAATACAGAATATTTTCTCTGTATCACAATAGAAATCATCATCACGACAAACATCATCTAGAAAAATACAAATTTATTTCATAGACACCTGCGAATACCGATCAATTGACGCACTTTACATATTTCATGAGATTTACAATTGTCTTCATCACGCATATTTTTACAATTTGGAATTAAATTACACGAACATGATGGTAAATAACACGAACCATCTCCACAAGATAGAGATGGAGCTATACATTGATCTAAACATTCGAAAAGCTAAAAAAATAATCACATTATTATCAATACTTATATTTTACCTATAGTCACATTATTTTGTTCACAAATTTTACATTTCCATGACAAGACGAAGCAGAAGAGAATCAATATATTTTGATTCAATTTTTCAACCATTCATACATTTTAAATTTAAACAAAATATATTCTCTACTTTTCTCACCACTAAGTTCCAAAACTCCAGCTGAATTGTGTCATACAAAATAGTTAATTATTTTCTTATCTTATGCACAATTTATTTCATTCTTACATGTGTAAAAAAAAAGCAATCATAAAAGACATTTATCTACTAAGTTTTGTCCAAAAAAATACGTAATACTATGATAATGATACAGATCCTAATTTACTTTTTTTCTATAATATTCTGGCCTGCTACTAGAAGAACAATATCATTTTGTCATTGAAACATATTCTCAGCATAAATGTTACACATGGAAACGAACGTTTTTTTCTAAAAAATACTTAATTTATTCGGATGGTTTGATACTTGATAAAAAGAAAACATTCATCATTTGATCTTCTGATTCTTTGATACACGTTTATTAATAGTCATATTTTTTATCACAGACATAAAGGATGTTTAATAAAGTTCATTGACCATAGACAGATTTCATTTTGAATTTTATTAAACATAAACAAGCTTTCTGATCATTGAAGGATAATTTTTAACGCTAAGCGCTGAATAAATGAAGCGCTAAACTCGAACCAAACAAATTGCAGGAAACATGACATGAATTTTT